AGGTAGGCGTGTTGGCTTCTAATTCCTTGCTGCTGCATAACAGACCAGGTAACCGTCGGCTGCTTTTGGCTCTGCGCTCACTTTGTGTCCTTGGAACATCGCCTCCAGCATCTAGCCAACCAATTGTTTTCTGGGACTGCCGAAGACCTGCTGGAGGAGAGGATGTTCAGAATAACGCTTCCGGATTCTCAAACTCCGTCGCGATACAGCTGGCGTTGATTTCTGGGTTTGCGCCTCCGCCAGTCTCCAGTTGCACCGTCTCATCACGATGTTGCTGACTTGTTGCAGGGAGAGTTCGGGGATGATCGTTGGTTCTCCAAACCATTTTAAAATACCAACACTTACCGTCTGATAAGACCTCTAGGTTGAGCGTAAACCTACGATGCTGGCCAGTGCACTGACCGTAGAACGTACAGCGAGGTACCCGACCCAACGGACAGCGAACTACTTCGGCAAGTTGCCGTCCAGCGCGCTTCAGATATTATGACCGGCAACGAAGTGACCTAAGTGGAAATTAACTGCTGAATGTCGTTCGCTGGCCCTGCACTTTACTAATGCATTCCAGCATTGTTAAGAGTAGTACGAGTAGTGTGTGGCAGTTTGACGCTGCGCATATACGCGGCTAGCTTCGGACAGCCAAATGTAACTGGCTCAGCCAACGGTGACTCAGCGTGGGCCATGAATGTTTTACCAGGGGAAGGCTGCACTGTTATATTATAAGCTCATTCCACTAAGGGGAAGACGTCAAGCCATTCTGAGGTATTCTGCTGGATATAGAGTCTCAAATACTGAATCAGCCTGCTATTGGTGCGTTTCGTTTTACCATCTGCCTCAGCATGGCTTGGACTGGCATGTTAGTGGTAAGCCATTTCATGAATTCGCCCCTCAAGGCGCTACCGTATTTATCCCTGGCAGTGATGATGCTGTGTCGGAAACAAGGAAGCTTTTAGGCGTGATTAATGAGTAGTTAAACCACTTCCTCTCCTGCATCGAGGCTTGAACAACGAATGAAACGGGACGCTGAGCCCATGCACTACGGCATCGATGCAGTGGGTGCTCCTCCCGACTGAAGCCCACTAAGAAACTCATCGAAATATCCGTCCAATGACGTTTGCAAACCAGAAAACCCTGTAGCAAATTGTTTTTGATAGTGCTATTTGGCTTTTGCTGCTGAAATATCTTTCACGTGAGAAAGTATTCTTCAAATGGAAGGCACCCCATAGGCCGCCGGAACCTTGCCCCTCGCTCCATTGTTGAGTTGGCTACCCAGTGAGGCTAGAGTATTATCGTTCTTTTTGCATTAACCTTCGGCACGACGTGCAGCTGGAATGTGCAATGAGAGCAGTCTCTGGTTCGTCTGGCGCCACAGGGCTCGCCACCGGTGCTGCTCTGCTCCATCCGTTGCACATTGTTCAATTTCACGATAAATGGAATAGTATGAGTTTTTATGTAGCAGGAAGAAGGCAATTGTGAAAGGAAGTCAGAGTCATTACATATAAGTGTAAAGGACAGTGTCTGACCTATAAGGTTCGGGAGAGTGCGTCAGCGAGATCGTAAGCGATTCGCTTGACATACATGACGGTGAAATAGTACTGCGTGAGCTGAAAAGGCCACCGAACAACTCTCGCATCATTGCAATCTTGAAACGTCTTCATCAGGTGAATCAGAAACCGATGATTGGATTGAACAATGCAATGCCTGCCATATACATAACGCCGATGTTTTCTACTTCCCACCAGATCACTTACAGCTCTTACTGGAGTATTGGGTACTTCCGTTATCTCCCCACAAACCAGTATAGGTGGCAGGCTGTGATTTGTTGTGCTCTCGGATTTTTGGCGTGCTGGTAAACTATCACCGCAAATGCAATGTCACTGGCAATAATCATTAGGGAGCAACGCGTGTCGAAATCAGGGTGCGCAAGCGCTCCGGACGGCAAAATCTCTCGGAGAACGGTTAGAGCGATACGGATGGAGACGAAAATAAGAATGAACTTGCTGTAGTACGAAAAGTACGACCTCTGTGAGAATGTCCCAGGACAGCAATCACATCCAAATAGCCTCCAGATCTGGTTCGGCACCAGCAATCGAGGTTCGAAACCCCCAGAAACTAGTTTTTTTGCAGGAAAAGGAACCCTCTTGAGCCCATTCGAATGGAAACTTCTTGAGTGGAAGTTGCATAGCACCGTAGGTGATGTAGGTGCTATTTTACCTTCTGGTAAAACTCCAACACGGCATCCCTTTAAAAGGCTTTCCATGCCTCAATGATTGCTCCGACGAAACCGTTGTTAGCCTGTCGGTTCACAGAGGTTGTGGCGAATTCTCTTCGTTGTTGGCACAGGAAAATCAGGCGAAGGTATCCCAAGCCTTCAAGCCAGGTGGCTGATTTACAAGCCAACACAGCAACCTGAGGGGGGGCATCAACCCTTACACGGCCACAACAACTGCCAACAGTGTCTGAACATGCCGACAGGAATAATTGTTTGTCCTTGTATATTGGGCTATCTTGCGCCTAGTATTGCAGCAAGGTCCGCTGCAACTCACAGCAACCAACTCCCTCAGCTCCAGGGCTTCAGACACTAACTTCAGCAAGCCTGAATAATGGGAACGGAGGTCAGATGCCTTTGGGGAACTATCTTGTGGCGTATTTTGGATTTCTTGGTGATTAATAGCCCTCGGGTAAGATCCAGGTCCCGTAATACACTACGCTTCGCGCTACTCCTCCATATGAACAGCACTACACTACAATTATTCGTTCCCCACTGAACAGCGCTAACCCAAAGCGAAATAAACATGCAATTTTGAGACTGATAAAGATAGATAGAGACAGACCACACGTTTCTTCCCCCTTCATTTGTTCACAAAGTATGCTACACCTAACGGGAACCCGAGCGATGATACAAGGCAAGGACACACAGAAGGAGAAGCAAAGCAGGATATTTTGCTACGATGTCCCCGGTCCTTGAGGTTAGTACGTGGTTGTGTCTCTTCGAGCCTCTTTGCTGACGCAGTTCTCATAGTCCTTGGGGCCCCCACATTTGCGGCACATTTCCTCTGTACGACGCAAAGCCTCCTGACGAGAGGGGCATTGCGAGGCTACATGACCCCTGCCCCTGCACTCGAAACAAACATTTTCCCTAGATATTAGCCAGTCTGGTAGGTTTCCTCTTTTGCTATTTCGTGGTTCCCTAGGGGACCCCCCTCGAATATGCCGACGGGTTTCCTGCAAATATTGCCTGGTTCGTCTTAGTTGTTTCAATGTCTCGTCTCTAGATCCTACAACTTTCCAACGCTGCAGCGGTTTCTTCCCAAGTTGTGAATTTGACATGGCCCTCATTTGTCATTCTCAGCACAATGTCATCTGGCAGGTTTGCTAAAAACTGTTCACTAGCTGCTCCTGCGGTAAGGGTCCTCCCTTACAAAGTACTGATGAAAACTCGGCAGCATAGTTTGCTACACTGCTCTTCCATCTGACTTCAGATAATCGTGAGACTATTTTGTCTCGTCGGACCCCGCTGAATCTAGTTAGCATAGAGCATTTGAGAGCTTCCCAGCTGCTGACGGTTTCCCGTGTAGCCCATAGGCAGAACCACCAATTTAGTGCTTCTCCGGTCAAATATGTGCGCTGTTCTTGTCTCCGGTTTTCCGTGGATATCCCGGTCTCGAAAAACACCAATTCTATATGACGAAGGAAGCACAAAATATTCCTACCATCCTCATACGGTCCTAAGATAATCCCTCGGAGGGTTTGACACCCCCAGGTGATCATCCAATGAAGTCCGCAGTGGAATTCTCGCGCCGGCGTTGGACCCCATTGTCCTTCCCACACTGTTTGCTCGCATATATTGGCACAATCACGATATGTCTTCTGCTGCTTGGCCTTTTAATTGTGGTGCGGCTGATTCTTATTATACATTCCACTGTAGAGGAGAGGTCGCTGGGTTGAAACAGATGTAGTGCGCAGCCGTCCCAAGCTGTGCCTAATTATCATCTCGTCCTGCCAGGCTACCTAAGAATTACCTCTGACTATCCAAATTCTCCGAAGTCTATGCTGCAAGTTCCAATCATGTTAGATTACATTTGTTAACAAAGGGGTCACTTCTTAGAGTCAAGAACTGTGTTCTGAATTGACCCCGGTCATGGCTGGGTGTCAGCGCCCAACCTATGGGAAGACGGGGGGTGTATTAACGGTGACGACCCGGTCAGGAGCCTGACCTGTAACTTCCATCCACCAAAGTCATATTTATAGACATAATACTCCTATATAGTAAGAATTCTACTTCTTTTTTAACAAGATCTCTAAAGTGGCCTCCCTGGTGTCTATGTAGTGACAAGGTATTGCGTTACACTGTCGATAGTGCCAGGTGGCGGGGTAACCCTACTAAACGATGGCTCCACCTACGGTGCTCCAATGTCAGAACTTTTAGCAGCATTAATTCCCTTTCTTAGTTTCTAATGTCCTAATCATTCTCTTTATGGTCAATGAGATACTAGAGATTACACTAGAGCCACATTGTAGTGCCTGTGCACTACAGTTTACCCCACTGCTGTCAGGGGAGCTGTGTTAAAGGTGGTTGGTTGGGGTGGTGTTGGCTGCCACCATTCGGACTGCTTTGCAACAGATCCCGTTTTGTCTTTTATAGTAGATTAATTTTCACTTCTGGTGCTGGGGTTTAGCTTGGATCTACATCTGGGATATTCTGCGTCGTGTGTAATTAATGGTGGCGTGGCACAACTCCACTGGAGAGAGAATCGTTTGAACTCCTGCTACCAAGTGACTTCCTGCTCGTGTGTGTGGTCATTTCCCCCTGGTTGCAGTGAAGGCGGGCCTTTAAATGCAGTGCAGCAGTTAGGCCGTGCCTCTACTCTTCCACTTGCACATTGAATGCGTCAGTGCAGTGCGTTCCTTGGGAGTTTCTCTTCTTCGCGCATTCCGTGCAAGGCAGACGACGAGGAGCATTACGTTTCAACGAATAGCGTTAACTCATATTTGCTGCGAAAATGCTGGACTCCGGTGGCCCCCCGTGCGAGTGAGAAAGGGATTAGTTGGTTCTGCGTAGCGCTGCGCTTGTCCTATATCGGCGCACAAGTTGGAGGAGTGACTACTTCACAAACACCTTCGTTGTGCATTCAGGAGATTTTTGAGCATTAGTTCCCTTAATCCGTATGTACACCGTTGGCAAATCAAAGCACGGGTGGTGGACAAGAGCCCGTTGCAGACGACAAAAAACAACAGCAAATTCTTCCACGTTGACGTCACGGACTCTGCAGTAAGCTTGCTTTTACCTTTGCAGCTGGCCTTCACTACATGCTTCAGAGCAGCAGCCATTCGCATCAATTCCCTTGTAAATGGTCCGTTCCTCGACTCATTATGCTCGACTCAGCGCGATGCAGTCTCTGGTCAGCACGATGCAATCTCTGAATATACTATGGTCCCGCACTCTTTTGGTGCAGGGTGATCTAATCCGAGCCAAGTTCTGGGGCGACGCCGCTGAGAAATGGCATGGGGCTCTCGAGAAAGGCAAAGTCCGCCATGGAGAAGTTTTGTTGGTCTTTACACCTCGTGAACTGCGCTTCAGTATCAACGCCTACAGCTGCTGCACCGCTAAACGGGTAGACGATAGAGTGGCAACACCACGCGCTGCAGGTGTGCATTGCTGTTCCGACCTGCAGGTGTATTGCTTCTCGCGCGGAAGAGTCAATGTGGCGAACAAACGCTTTTCGACTCTCAGTAACAACTATGAACTCTCCTTCTCAGCGGAAGCAGACATCAAGCCAGCAGAGGACGACGGGTCTATCCACGCCAAAAGAAGGCAAGGGCTCGAACTAAGATTCCACTTTAATATTGGAAGGCACATGAATTGCATGAGGACATTAAATTCCCCTATATCCTGTGACACGACCAGATATGAACCGTCACGCATCAGCCGTCTGGCCACCGAGGGGGGCTTAAGGCGCATATGTTCGGGTTCGTGTACAGAGGGTTTGGGGTGCGCAGCTTGTGCTCGATGCCTCTTCGGGGTATCTTTAACTCGACTCGAGAGTGCCCGTTTCCTACTGACGTGTTGGCCGTCGTTGTTGAGGTTCAGGTGAGTCACGCGATGCCTGCACTGCTGAGTGATACTGTAGCAGATTTGCAAGTGATACTCTTCCTTCCCAGCGCATCGTCTCCGTCTGGAAGTGCATCGATGCAGTGCATTGCCACGAAATTTTAAATCCTTTTGGTGAGCCCCAGCAGTGTGTGCTGTATGTGGAGCTGATACAGCCGATATCTTCTGTCACCGCAAGGAGCAGCGGCGAAGAACTCAAGCGCCGTGTGTTGAAAGTCCGGGACAAATCCCAAATGGAAATGGAGATAAGCCTGTGGGGAGAGCAAGTGAGATATCAGTACTTTGACTTATTTATTCTGTTGAGTCTCCGCAAAATTTCTCCTCGGCACCCACAGGCTTCTGTACACGTGGCTCTCCATACATTGTAGTGCCTGCATAGATTAGATTATACCTGCACTTCTCTCCGTATGTATCAGTGTGGACCGCGCTGCTGAACAATACACTTGCGCTCCCTGAGATTTTCTCGTTTATGTTTGAGGCCGAAGGCTGGTGATAGTTCGCCCTGGCAACCAGTGAACTTGTGTTCTTAACGGCTTTGAATTCGTCAACAGCTGGGAGCCATTCGGATCTGTTGTATAGTATCATCATTTTTCTGGCTGCCCTCTCTTTAAGTTCCGAAGTTGTGAATGTGTATGCACAACTGCTCAGCACAGCATAGCAATTTCTGGGGCACTGCGTTGAATGCACAGGTTGACTGTATAACAGAGACAGCAGCCATTCCTCAGGTTTATGGTATCACGGCCCTCAACATCCGTGACTGGAGAGGGGCCAGGAGTGCCAGCACGACAAAGTCATCACAGATACTGAAGGCAGGAGCAGGCCTTCTGTCTGCTGAGGAAGAAGTTACTGCAGCAGAAATGCTGCAGTGGTACATCACTGTAAGGCCAGCACGTAACCCTGATTAGCTCTAATAAGGAGACGTTCCCCGGTTTTTCCGTCTTCGCAAGTGCTTGGATGTGACTAGCAGTAGCACCAGTAGGGCACATCTGTAGCAGTTTGGGGTTAGTAGTAACCGTGGCAACCGCAGTACGTGCAGCACAATAACTACTGCGAGCTTTTAGTGGAGCTTGTAATATCAGGAGTGCGGGTGTAAGACTTATGAACCTCTGCGATGATTTGCTTGTTGTATTTCGAATCTGCAGACGGGTAGCAGCCTTTCCTTCCTCAGTATGTCTCGTGGGGGGCCTTTGGGTGAAGGGACGGCCAACGAGCGCAAGCCCGTGCAGGAAATGGGCATCAAAGAAATCAAGGACAAGAATGAAGTAAGCGGTTTGCGGGATAGTGCAAAACAGGTCTTTTGCATGTCGCTGCCAAGTTGCAATGTTTAGGGTTTACATAGAGTGGGGATGAACTGCCGCTGCATTGTTATGGTGCGCACTGCCTCTGTTGCAGCCTGGGATTTACGCTTTTGTGGCTCAAGTCCGCCGTGTGTATTGGAAGCCGCGGCAGCAGCAGCAGCAAGGGCAGCAGCAGCAGGATATCTACACATATGCTGCCTGTCCCTCATGCAGGAAGAAGCTGCACGCAGATTCAGGCAATGAATATTCGTGTTATCCCTGTAATACAAACCACGTAAGCCAACGTCACTCCACATTTGTTAAGTTACAGCGTCAATCTCTTCAGTCTATCTCCCGTCGATAACAGCAGAGCATGTAGGCGGGCATTCTCCGCTACGCAGCAGGTGAGTAGTGAGGGGACTGCAGCTGCACTTGTTTGTATTTGCTGCAGGTAGCACCTGACTGGCGATATATGCTGCTTGCGTCTTTCATCGATAGCACAGGCTCTATAAGCTGCAGATGCTTCGCTGATATGGGTATCATCTGCTGAGCCGCTTCCTTTGTGTTTTTGCTACTCCGTAGGGCACCGAGCATGTATCCGAGTAGCTAGAATTGGCTGCAGTTCAGCCCAGAATTCTCTTCTGCATTCACATCTATTGCTGCCTCAGGCTATTGCTGGTGTCGCCGCTGCTATTGCTGCTTGTGCTACTCAGGACAGTCCTTGCTAGGGCTTCCCGCCTCTGAAGTACGATGTTGGGATACGGAGAAGAAAGAGGAGTTCTTTGACTGGCACTCCATTCTCAAAGTCGGACGAAATGCAGCGCCCCTTCACTCAATAATATTAGGTTCCTTGCAAACGGCTGATGAAGGGGTTTGGTAGCTGCATGGCGTGCTGGTAGCCAGCAGTGAAAGGTTCATTTGGGGTGTTTATGGGTGTGATTTGTTTGCTTGCTTCCTATAGAGCTTCTTCAGAGTTACAGTAAAGGCGGAATTCGATAATTACAATGGAGAGCAACGCATGCGCTATACAGCGCTGCGGGTAGAGGCCCTGGACTCACACAGCTTCTCTCTTCTGCTGCACCAGCAGCTCAAAGCCGCAGTATGCTGCCTGCTGCTGCTGCTACTGCTGCTGCTGCACTCGCTACTGATGTTGCTGCTGACACAGTTGCTGCTGGCACAGTTGCACCTGCTGGATAACATTAATAACTATGCAAGTGCGCAAGCCATTAAGACGAGTGATCCTTACGATTATTCGCACCGCGCAGGTCCCGACGTTGACTGACTTCGCTGCAAGCAAGAAGGCTAAGCTAGAGGTGATTGCAAGTGGCAATGCGGCAAACCTCCTGTTTACGAGCTGTGCATCACCAGGCACGCCTGTGCATGTTTTCACTGATTCCACGCCTGCTCGCTGCTACTTGCTGCCTGTGTTGCTGGTCGCAGGCGGACGACACCGAATTTGAGCCTAACACGAAGCGGCCTCTAGTTGAGGCCCACTAACCTCTGTGCTGCTGCGTCGATGAAGAAATATGGCGCTTAACAATCTAGCACCTAGCTGCAGGCTTTGGCTTCTGAGGTTTACGGACACCAAAGCCACTTCTCTGTTATTTTTACTTTTTTACTTTTTAATAACAAGACAGGACATCGGAAACAGGGTTTCTAAGCTCATCTTAACAATAGGCACCGTCGATGTTAACATGGAAGTGTCACCTCCACGCAACGTGCATGCCACCGAGGCTAGTAGTAGTGATATCAAGCCAGAACCTTAATATGTCATTTCCCCTTATGTTTACGGAGCCTTCCTCGCCCACGGACAGAAGGTAGGGCAGCATTGACTGGTGCAGCGCATGAGATTCCGCCTTCTCTGCACCGCCCGATGCCACTGTGGCGCTGTAATGCTGGTGGTTAATCTTATCCGAGGACTAGTGTGAGCAACAGTGGACCTATAGATCCATTATACCTACGATAATAGTTCCTTGAAGCAGCTGACCTCCCTCCGCAGTAACCAGACTTCCTGAGCGCAGTGGATGAGGAGCCAGGAGATTAGGGAGATGAGACGGCCAGCCATTACTGGCAACGGGCCTTGCTGCAACTCAAGGTGAAATAGATCCTCATCTACAAGGGCAAAAAGGCATACTTCGGAGGCTGAGAAAACACACTAAACCAGTGCTGAAGACTCCCGCCTGCGCACATTTTGTCAACTAGGGCATGGGGCGGTTCATGGGAAGGTTCATGCGCCAGCTTTAGGCAGACGTGCCAACAACGCTACAGCCTATTTCCCCAAGAATCCTGGAGACTGCATGCATATGCCCCTTGGGTTCGTGAATGCACTTGCCGAAATGAATGAGCAGGATAACGACGGTTTCTTTGGCCCAATCAATGTGGGATAGATGGCTTTATGCATGGATGAGGTGCTTGCATCCAACCGGAATGTTCAGGAGAGACTATAGCGCCTGAAACTGGAGGATACTTAGATCTTAAACACTCATGGAACAGATAGGAGACTCCATAAAAACCAAATATATTACGTTAAATGCTCAGGCGACCGGCAACACGAATGGGTTTTTGGGGATCGTATGCACGAAGCAATTCCTTGTGAGGATCTACTTGCAACCCTTGTACCCCCGGCAATTACTGCAGGCTTGGGCGTGAACAGCGCAGTGCTATGTCTAATTTTCCGGTATCACCCCGTTGTTGCTTCGCAACTGGATGCTGCAAAGCATCTCGAAAAGATGCTTCTCGAACGGTACATGAGCACACTGTTTGCCCCGTCACTTGAGCCTGGATTTCTTCCGCTTCTCACGACGGCCTATGTTCTTAGCAGCCAAGAGGTTAAAAGCGAGCCGACTTCACAGCAACGAGGCGGTGGCTTGTCCTTAGCTTGCAGTGTCTGGCCGTAGAAGAGCGTGCTGGAGGCGCCAATCTTCCTGTGTGTGACAGAATTTTCAGTGCATTACCACACCAGAGATCCAAGCGGACGAACCACTAGGTACAGTCACTTTCTCAAGCTCTTAGTCATTCTAAAACCAAGATATTTTTATGTTTTGCACACTACTGGGATGTCGGTGACTTTCATTGGGTTGTTCACTCCTAAAGGCGTACTCCTGGAGGTGCCCCTCAGTCGCCACATCTAGCATAGGAACTTCCAAGTCAGTAAATGTGTAGGGGGAAAGGTGCAACAGGAAAACTACGCGCCAGCAGGTGGACGTATCGTCATCTACTGTTATTTGTTGGCATTGTGGCTTTGCCGTGTCTGTTTCGCCATGGTTTTACGCAGTTGTTTCAAATTTCCATCCGAATAATGACGTGAATAAACGGAAGGAGATAATAATCGATGACTGACTATCAAGCTCGTGTATTTCTACTTACGTCTCTACTACACGCAACAATTAGCGGCGAGCAAAATCGACGCATACAAGCGATATACACGGAGTGAAATTAGGTAGAAATGATTACCCTGTTTGCAAACAATTCAAGCAATAGAACCCAAAAGTATTCGTATTGCATAAAAGTGAAAAATGCGTAGAGTAGGGGGAATTCTGGTGCTTTCAGTTTGAAGACACCATGCTGAGAACCGGACAAGCGAGCGAGGCACAGGAAACACCGCGGAAGGCAGATTTCCTCCCAGGCATCTGTTGAACCTTCCGATTTCTTTTTTGTGAGAGATATTTTAGAATTTGCTTCCCTTTCATTATCGGTTCAGTGACGCCAACTTCTTTGGACCGTTTGCTCTGGGGGGGAGGGGGGCCCTTGTGGCCCCTCTGCAGCGTAGGAGAAAGTACTACACGTTTATCGATTATCCTTCTACCTCTTCCTTTATCAGCTGAAACTCTCCTGAGGTTTTCGCTGACGCCCAAACCCCTTGTTTCGCTCCTCTGTCGGGCTGCCCAGCAAAGAAATCCTCTACCCAAGTTGTACTTCGCCATTCACACGATTCCCTCAGAAGGGAGCATTTGAAGATGTTTATCGTCAGGAGGGCCGCTGAGGTTTGCGGCGGCCCTCCTGGTTTGCTGAGAACTCGACTTTCTCTCGCCGTAACTCTTCAACGACCGCATCAACAGCAGCAGCAGCAGCAGCAGCAGCAGCAGCCCAATGCGAGGCACACTTTTCCGCCGTCAGTGCTCCTCCCTTCTACGTGGGGATACTCACAGAACTTTGTCTACGAATGCTCTCCCTTCCGGCGTTCGGGGCCGAATTCTCTTTTTGGCGCTTGCCGCCCCTTGACGTTTCACCCACAGAGAAGGGTTGTTGGCCACCGCCTCGTAAGCCAAGCTCCACTGCTAAATTTTCACTCTTGTCTTTAGATCTCATGACTTCCGTATTCATGCTCATTCTCCACAACTGGTTGAGTGCTTATCCAGGAACTCAGTGAACTATATATACTATGCATTCAACATGCATATTCTTATGTAGAGTATTAAAGTGCGTGGCACTCCCCAGTATCGGTGTATGCTCACAGTTTTTCCGCTGATATGTGTCATTTTTGCGCTGCAGGAAATCATGGCTGGGAAACACAGGAAGCGGCGCTTGCTGCCTCCCAAGGTCCCGCTCCATCCATCTGCTGCTGCTGCAGCAACAGCGGCACAGCGCGCCGCCCCTGGGATCACGACTCCGGCGGCGCCACAGCAAGACATGACTCTCTTCGAAGCATATAGAGACCTACAGCTGCGGTGGAAGCGAACGACGCGGTAAATAAATACATCTAGAGACTTTACTTACTCATAAATCCCTCATCCCTGGCCTTGTCTACTACGCCTGCAACTCCTGCCCTATACGACGCCCTAGACCTTGGCTCTTGTGCAGACTCTAAACACTTCACTAGTTAGGGATTAAGCCTGATGTTTAAGTAGGCGAAATTCAACTCTACATTCTGCTCCCCGATCAGGCCCAAGATCCTCAATTTTACCTATGCCTTACAGTCGCAAACCTAGAGAACCCCCTAAGGCTGAGGCTGTAATGAACCTGAAAAACCCAAGCCTTAAGTAAACATGGAACCCCAGGCCATCGTTGGAGCACTCATGAGCTTGGTGGAAAACTGCCGGGTAGTTTTTGTGTTTCTGTTCGTCGTTGTTTCCACTCAGGCAATCGCGGAAAAAGTTTTGTATTGCACGCAAGTGGCGGCAACATTTGGCATGCCACCCTAAGCCCGAGCCCTCGTGGCTGCTCTTCCTTCACCCGCAAATGGGGTCGCCTACAGGCCGCGCAGAGGTCCATGAGAGCCCCCCACAGCATTACAAAGTCGGGAGGCGTAGGGCTGCTTCACCGCAGCAGCAGAGTTGCGATGGCAACACACACGAGCTGCAGCCATACGAGCTGGTATCTGTACCGCACCGTCAGCAGCGTCACATGCAGCAAGAGCAGCATCAACAACAGCAGCAGCTGCAAGACCTACGCCAGCACCACGGCGAGCAGGGAGAGCAGCAACGTGAACAGCAGCAAGTGCAGCAGGAGGTGAAAACATTAGGAGATTTCGTGGGTGCATTCCAAAGGCTTCAAGGCACCCACGAAGAAAGGCCTTCTTTTCGCCTCTCTTACAACCCTAAGGAAATCTTTTGCGTCTTCAAGAGTAGCGTTTCTGCACAGCACAAGGCAAGGTAGCCCCGACAGCAGTAGAAGCACAACTGTCGCTAATGCATACGTCAAGCAGACATACTTAAACCTGTAGCAAACTGCCAGGATGGTGCTGACCCGCAGGTGACAGTGGGAGATCTTGTCCAGACAGAGAAGCTGCACAGGAAGCAGGCGGGTGAGGGCCTTACAAGCATCGAAAAACCCATGTGGCCACACGCAAGCCTGCCGCGGGTTCAGTGTACGTACCTGTGCATTTTTGCGAGGGTACATGCATGCTGAGGTGATAACATATGTGTATATTTGTACCGACATTCGTGAATGCCTACACCTGTACACATGTAAGGAACACCTATGTGTGTGAATGCAAGCTTGCATGCATACCTTGGTGAATATGTAGATGCATGCACAAGTTGATAAGGACATGCAACTGCGTGCACTGTACAACGACACATCTGTACTTGCACACGCACGTGTTTGCGAAAACAGAAAAGCCCAAGTCTGTGGAGCGAGGTGCAGGCGATAAAGTTGTTTTCGGGACAGTCCTCCTGGCCGGCACTCGCGAGTGGACATTACTTGGCAAGCCGACGTGCGCATGAGCGGATCCACGCACTCATCTGCAACGCCATACCACAGCTTTTCGTTCGGGTTTAAATTTTCAGTAAGGTTTAGTGCCCAACGTCTCAAATGCTGGGGTGTTTGGAGCGATTCAGGGTTCCTTTCGCACGCGTGAAGGGTGTCATTGAACAACAGGTCCGTCTTTCTCGCTGTGCTTAAGGGTTGTGAGGCGGATGCCTGCTGAAGCACAAAATGGAATGAGCAGATCCAGGAATGTGTGCAGCAGGAGTTTACAGCATAGAGATAGTGTATTGATCATTGTTATGAATAATCCGTGTTGAAAGCGAGGATGAGGTAATGCTGATGTTGGGTTCCTTTTCAGACTCTGGCTGGGGAGACGCTGAGCTTCCGCTACAAGAAGACGCGTCGCTCCTCTCGCTTTCTCAGGCAAGCGGAGTCGTATGCACAAAAATACGAAATAAAATGTAGACATAATCTATTACAAGCGGTGTGCATAGAGGGCATACAACCGAGAGGGACCGTGCAGATTACAAGGACGGCAACGCACTCAATGCATGCTTCCATGTAGATATCCTCATTTATTCATCTTACTCTGGGCTGTGTGTATTATCGAAACTTCGGCACTAAGGAGAGCTACAGCCTGTTTGCCTTCAGATTATGGGCTCATGTTTTTTCCCTTACGGCCAAGGTGTTGAACCTTCGAACGCATAAGAAAATGAGCTGAAAAGGAACGTGCACGTGTCAAAAGCATCTTAATGAAAAGCAGATGCCTATGTATTTTTCCAGTTTTGCCTTTACGTCATTCCCTTCACAAGTTTTTCTCTGGTTTTTCAGAATTCGCCACTGGGTGACTTTGGTCCGAATCGAGGAAATTGAAGTCGACGTTGCAATGAAGGTCTTCTTAGACTAGCCCACTTCCCAGCCCCCCCTGTTTCCTGCTTATTTATGCATGCATGCATGCTTTTTGGATGCATCTATGCATGCGTCGGGCATGAAGCTACGCACCCTACTTATCCCGAACCACCTAACGGTGCTGTCGATCAGTTAGCGGCTTTGTTTCCCCTATGTGCGCGCCATTGTTATCTACCGCAGGATGACCCCCCACCCGAACCACCGAAGCGTTTGCTGGACCTCTGGGCTAATCGATGGCTGTACCCTGAGGAAATGGAAGGTAAGGATGGCCAACGTGAGCGGGAACACGTTGCTCGTGCTGCTGCAGCACCGACAAGGAATTCACCATACAACGTTTTGATTAGCAATGGCTGCAAGGAGTGCAGCAGCAAATAGAACAAGGCGCAGGTGAAACTTGCCACTGCTCAGCTTTGTATGTCGCTGCAGGCATAAAGACTGATGCTGACGGGAAGCCCTTAGTAGAAGGTGAGGATTAGCTAAGGCAGAAGAATTTGCTCGGGCAGCATAAACAGACGGCAGACGGAGCGCAAGCAGAGGCCAAAGCTGCAACAGTCGGGGGTTGGCGGGGTATTTGCTTGCATTTGTTCAGCTGTTTATGACGGCACTGAGCACCAGCAGGGCACTTATCATCGGCGTGGCTTGACAGCTTGCTACAGGTTTGCCCCCTTTTCTTTCTGCTACTCTTGTTGCTGCTGTTGCTGCTACTGTTGTGGCCTTTTTTTTCCTGTTGTCCTGCAGAGGGAGTTAAGAACATTTTTCTGGTTTGTACGTGAAATGTTTGTTTAACAGGTGGCTGCCCGACCCCAAGGCAACGCATTGGAAACGATGAGTTTCAACTTGTCTAGTTGCTCTAGGAAATTTGTGTAATGCCTGCACTTATGGTGCAAACACACAAAAGGAGGTCGTGAGCCCAGGCCCTCCATGGTCAGGGCTAGCGGTTAAGGCGGTTGTGCGTCAGCATTGAACGCCAAATCCAATAGACCCGCCAGCAAGCGGCGAACGAATGCTTTTTGCCCTACGTCAGCTGCATGCCGTCGCCGTGCATCTGACAAATCACGCATCGAAGCCGATCAACGGCTGGAGCATCTCCATGGCAGCAGCGAAGGCTCCAAAACCGAGACTGCCCACAGCCATCGCTCGAGGCCCTCCTGCACGGACACAGGTCACGGAAACAAGGGGAGGTGCTGTTTTCGGCCATGCGCCATTGCGGATTTACAAAACTGTGCCAGCCAATCTCCCACGTGAGGCCTACTTTGATTCAGGCCGTGAGACGGTTTGCTGTATCGGCGGATGTAGCGAGGGCATTTAAGACTGTTTGCGGCAAGAGAACACATTTTAGTTATTACAGGGATGTGTTTTAAGATTTCCAGTTGAAGGCCTTTGGGGGGTGCAAAACACTAACCTTTGATTGCCAGCGCGGCGCCCGTCAAACAACCACCATAAATGGCTCCACGTAGGTCGTGCGTTGCTCGTTCCTGAGTGAGACGCGAAACGGCGCAGTGTCACGACAGTCTGTCGCCTCGGCTGCCAAGACCATGTGGCAACGGTATAAAAGCCAAAAAGGAATCAAAACGTAAGAAAAAAAACGGAAGCAAAAGCAAAAGCATTCGCGCACTAATGCAGTGGAGACAGCGCACTGGCCAGAACGGAACTGTAGAGCAGACTCATCTGCCCATATGGGTCTGCGGTCTCCATAAACGAACATCTCACCTTGTCAACTATGCACTCAGCTAAGGAATAAAGGCCGCCGATCTTCGCAAAGCTTTTGGCTGTCGAGGCGACATCTGGAACAAAGGATTTGTACTGCTGCCGAAGCTGCGCCCGCAGCCCTAAACAGCTGTCTACGTCTACAGGCTTCATTGTGAAGAAAAAGGCACCCAGGAAGAGTCCTGCCGCACAGAACACAACAGAAGCAACAGCACAGCGCGCCACCATACAAAGAGTATACATACAATACAATACAGCTAAATGCGGCACACTGGAGTACAGAATAACACAGTGCACAACAGAACACAGCACACCCCAGCACAGCATTGTACCGCTTAAAACAAGGCAGTGCAACGAACTACAGTCTAATGTAACCCGGAACAGCGCGAGACAAGCACAACAACAGACCAGGAACAATAGAATGCATCACAACAAACCAAAGATACACCAGGAAATGAATAGGATTGTATGAAACAGAAACTACATAATGGGACGGCGGCTGTTGTAACACCGAGGATCACAGCTGAGGAACTGCATGAGAGGCATTAGCCGTATGTGCCATAGGACCCGGGCCCAAGGCCTGTATGCCTTGGACGCTTGGAACAAAGAATAGTGGGTCTCAGAAAGTCAGTGTCAAGAAGCAACTCGGCCCACATCCTGGGCTCGCTAAATCCAGGGCTGTTGAGGATTTAATGCAGAAGTCTGCAGCGGTTGAAGCCCTCCGACTCAGGGCCCCCGCGATGGCGAGCTTACCAAGGAGGCCGCCCCCAACGCTTGATGTCGCTGCCCTGAGGAGACAGCCGTCGTTGAGAAAGCTTTCAACTGCTCGTTGAGCCCTGAGTTGCTGCAGGGCCGCCGCTCGCCTTTGAGCATCTTCTGCAGTTTTCACTCGAAACAAAGATAAGTTGCGGTACTGAGGGGTCAGGAACACAGACATAGGGTGGCGGTGCACGGCGGGTGACAAGAGCTGCTGGGAACCGCCTTCGTTCCGAAAGGGGGGTTCTCCATTGTCCTCTTCCAGTTGGAAGGCCCCTCCCGATGTTTCAGGCATTGAGAGGACAGTTCTTGCCTCCTGTAAGGCTTGACAGTTGTCGTGAACGTCCCTCCAGCCCCCTGTATCGGTAGGGTGATGCTGCTAGAAAGTAGCACAGTTAACTGTGTGCGAAGGCCTCGACGAGGCGCTTGGGAGTTCCCCACGCAGGAAGGAGTCCACGAAACAGACTAAGTAACCGCACTAGTCAGCGGGATATAATATATCACGCACCGATACGTAAGAATCGTTGTACACTGTGTGTTTTTGCTTCCTGAAGCTAAGCTCTCACACCGAGAAAAGCACCGTCATGGGGCCCTTGGGGGCCCCCAGGGCCCCCAAGGGCCCCATGGCCAACCCTTCGGAGGGGCCCCTGGGGGCCCCTCCGAAGGGAGTTACAGGACACCCTGGAAGGCGTGAGCAGCCGTTCTTTATGTCATCGTCTGCATCTCCTAGCAACTTTGTTACGTCTATTTAGGCTGTATTTGTCGCTGGAGATACCGAGCAAAACGTCATCGCTGGCCGTCTGTGCGGTACCGACTGCGGCGGGCAGCATTAGAACCTTACCGGTTGGATGCAATGGCTTCCAGCAGTGGGAACGCCTTAGGCACTCCATAATGTGAACATATTCTGTTCTGGACAATGGCTGACTACACGTCAGCAGCAACATTACCTACAGCAGCTGCAGAAGGTACGGATGCCGCTGAGGGCCCCTCTCTAAACTGGTGGCAGCAACGGCAGCTGCACGTCCTAGCATCTGCGGAAAATTCTGGGGTCGTTCTGCTTCTGGGTGGTGCCGAAGGCTCCGCACCACTGCGATGCTCCGTCCTTCTGCCACTGCTGCTTTTGCAGCACGGCTGGGCCCCACAACCCACGCACCACTCCTGGCAGCAGCAACACATCCTAGTTGCTCTAGAGACAAGCTCTTCAGCAGAGTCTGCTGCTGCTGCAGCGAAGGTTGAGGGAGGCGGCTGTTATGCCTCCTGTGTCACTACACACAAAAGCATCCTCGGAAGCAGCAGCGGCATTAACAGAGACTGCAGCTCTCCGCCTCGTTTAATATACCTTACAACGAGGCAGCTGCTGCAGCGGCTTCTGCAACAGCCGCTGCTTCCGGGTTGCTGCATGGCAGCAGTCGAGGTGTCGCTGCAGCACAGTTTTAGCACCGAGCTACTTCTTCCGCTGTTGCACAAAGTGCGCCAGAAGAGGCCTGCGTTGCGGTTACTGCTACTCCTGCCCCCTGCAGCAGTGCAGCCGCATTGGGCCCTTCAACTGGCTGAGTTTTTTGCGACAGGTGAAGATTCAGTTGCGTTGGGAGCCGCAGTGATGCCGCAGGGTGCGGTGGGGGCCCTTCGGGCTGCAGCGCAGCAGCAGCAGGAGCTGCTACTCCGTTTCCTTGCTCCCAGGGGGGGCCGATGGGACGTGAAACATCAGAAACAGAAGCAAAGACAGCAACAGCAAGTAATGACGCGACAATCCTCTCTCAGCCCATTCAGGAAACCAGCAGAAGCAATGACACCGCCAGCACATGCGGCAGGCGGTATTGAGTTGTTAGAAATAAGCAGTGGCAGTAGCACTAGTAGAAGCAACAGCAGTAGCAACAGCGTCTCGTGCGTCTCCTCGGACGAAGTTATGGTTTTAGGCGTCACCGTAGCTCAAGGCGACAATTCTCGGCGAATCTCCAAGCGGAAAAAAACCGTAAAGAAGGGCAAAAAGAAGCTGCAGCAACGCCTCAGAAAAGTACGACGGAAGCTTGAGAAAATCAGCAACAGCAGCAGCAAGAAAGAAAATAAGGGCAACCGTTTAGTGGGAGAAGCTGTTTGCTTGCGAACGGATACGCTCGCTGACTCTTCGCGACCAGCCCAGTTTCTTCACGAGGCTTCGCATGCAGTACATCCGGAGGGGAGCAGCAGCGAAGAGGCCTCCCCAGTGCGGCGAGCAAAGCCGTCACCTGGTTTAACAGTGCGGAATGACGAAGCGGCGGAGGCGTCGAGCCGTCAAAAGCCTTTTGAGCTCAGTAGAAATACCAGTAGCCACATGACTCAGCAGCTCACAACGTCCCCCGTGGCCGAAGAGTCTTTCAAGACATTCCCCCCCTCTAAGAGGTCGCTATCAGCTGTCTCTATACTTTCTCTCGCCCCTCCAACTCATCCAGTTGCCGTTCGCTACCTCAAAACTCCCACACCAAACTTTATCCGCACAGCCGCAGCTGTCGGTGGGCTCCTGCAGCAGTTGTTGTTGCCTCCCAAAGTTTCCCCTTTTGTTGCTTCTGTGTCAATGCTTCGAGTTTGCCCCTAAGGGGGACTTTTCTGCCTCTGCCAGTGTGAACGACCACCTGCACTTCCTCTTCAATCATGTTGTTCAGCACGTTCAACTGGTGCTGCTGCCGTCGTTGATGCTGTGCTGGCCGTGCGCTGCAGTGGCGCGTCTTGTTGCTCGTGTTGCGGTGTCCCCTTCGGAGAGTTCCTCAGTCGGCTCCATTTTTGTGTTCGTACCATCGGCCGAAGACGTGGCGGCTCTAGCAGGCGCGCTGCAGCAACGCTTGCAGCAACCGACTGAGCTTCAACAGCAGCAGCAACCGCAGGAGTCCCCGCCCCCACCAGTAGAGATTGTCTGCCTCGCCCCAGGTACAATCATGAGCTGCCTGCAGGAATGGCCTTTTCCTGTTTTCTCCCACCGTACTATTCGACCGCTAAAGCATCTTCCCTTATGCTATACCTCGCATTCCCTTGAGTTGCCAATTCCCCGTGAGGGAGGAATTTTGCGCTTGTCTACCAGTAACCGATGCACAGAAACACGTATAGCGGGTCAATACTAGATGAACGTGTATGGGAAGGCAAAGGCATCACTGTTTTGGCCTGTGCAGATTTGACCCCATCCTTGCCTCCTGCGTCTTCAGCGGTGCGCGTTTTCATCTCGTCGGCTGTCTTCCCGCCCTGCGTTCCGCCTTATGCACTGGCTGTGAAGTTCGTCGTGGACTGTCTGTATACACGAAGGACCGTGTTTGATTCCTTTTTGCGGCTGAATCGAATCTGCAATGTTCCAATTAGTGGGGCTCTCGCCGATTTGCGAGCTTCTTTAGCAGGAAGGCTTGCAGAGGGGGGTTGCTGCTACCGGCTCTGTACAGCGGATGCCTTTGCTGTTGGTTGTTGCCGGGGGCCTGCTGGATTGGCCTCAGCTTCCTCCACTGCCCATGTGAACGTCTATGAAGAGTTTCCTGCCTCGACTTTGGAGGACATCGCCCCGCTGCTCCTTCGGCTTAAGGCGTTGGGCACACATTCCCAGCAGCGGTTGCCGCTGCTGCAGCCCCCACCTTCTGCTGCTATTGCTGCAGCCGCTGAACAACTATTAGACCTGCAGGCAGTAGACGAGAGCGGGCGCATAACCAAACCCCTTGGGCGGATGATGAGTCAAGGAATACTTTCCCCGGAACTGACCCGGCTTCTCCTAATTTCTGCAGATAAGGTGGGAAGAGGGTTGTGGAGGGCTCCCCCGAAGGAACAGCAACAGCAGAAGCAGCAGCAGGAACAGCTGCCGCCGTAACAGTTTGTGTGGCAACAGTCCCTGGCGCCCAGATGTAGATTGCCAGGTTTTTGTAGGGGACTGCCCGTGATTTTGTAGCTGTAGCTCGGGGTGCAGCTCCTCAGCGACTGCGTTCGCTTCCCTGGAAAGCAGCACTGGTAGGCACCAAGGGTCCTTGAATGCGCTGCTTTCGTGTTGTCAGGCGTTTGGCTGCTCGATCGAGGCTGCAGCCCTCTGCGCCCTCCTTAGCGGGCCCCCCGTGTGGCAGCGGTCTGCGTTGGAGGGCTGCGGTTTCTTAGCCAAGAAGGCCAATAGGGAAGGGAAATGTCCGCGCGCCTTGGAAGCACGACAGCACCTGACGCTGTCTCGGGCTGTGCTGGGGGCAATAGAGGGAGATCCGCTGACAGCTTTGAACGTATTCAACCGATATGTAGACGTGAGAAGAACAGAAGGGCCTGCAGCCGCCTCCAGGTGGGCCCAACGACACGCTGTTGATGAACGGGTTATGGCCAGAGCCGCAAATATGCGCAGAGCGGTGCTCCAATGGCTGCAGCACTGCCAACTGCCATGCGTGAGTCCTCCCTTGCGTATCTGACGGGCACCTTAATTCAGCAATTTAGAACTGAATATTGTTCATTTTTTAGACCTGCTGTTGGGGATCCAGGTTTTACAGGGTGTGCGGTTCATTGATGGTCCAACCTAGAATACACTGGCGTGTAATGGGTCTCATCTGGTGTTCTTGTACATTTTATTTAGATTTCAATCGTTCACGTCTACGTACACGTATATTTTTATGAATGTTTTGCAGCTTAGCTGCGAGGGGGACTGCAAGCCTCTCCTCCGGGCGCTGACGTTCGCCTTTTGCCTCAACGTGGCCCAAAGGACGCACAGGCATACGTATCGGCTCTACAGACTGTGAGGGTGCAATTCACCACATGTTTGCGTTTCTACCCGCCTTTGCATGTTTGTTCCCCTCACCAACCTAAGATGCCTGCACAACACCGAAACTACGCAGGTTTGGTACCGCCTAGTTTCCGTATATGCAGGCCTTTTAGGTCTGTGCGCGTATTTATGTAGGTTCTTGTGTCTAGAGCTGTGTTTATTTCAATATTCAGCCCTGCATCGGCAACTGCCCCACCCTTCGTAATTCATCCATCTTCTGTTCTGGCAAACTGCCTGCCTTCGTTTGTAGTGTACGGACAGGTATGCAGTTCCTTCCCAGGTAGAAGGCAGGCCAAACACATTCAATGCAGCTTATTAAGCCCTAGTAACTGAGGTTTCTCTGCACCAACCACTTTTTCCATTTGCCACTGCGTTTCTCAGGCCTTCATGCGAAATGGCTGCGTCTACATGCAACAAGTCACAGCGATCGAGCCACAGTGCGTTTTTCTGGGGCATAGAACCCTCTATATGCTTCCGTAAACCGCATAACACGCACTTAAGGCTCTTAGTTTGAGTCGCGTTTCTTGTGGTAATCTCGGGGGGACATGAGGGTGCGCTCACTTTTTGTGAACCCCCATAAACGCTGCTGAGATGCACGTCTTTCTTAGCCAGAGTATTTGGTGTTTGTTGCAGGTGGTTGGCCGAAGTCGCTGGGCATTTGTACGCGGTGAAGACATAAAGTGCATAAATATGGCTCCTTCAGGCCAAGGGCCCAATGACAATGCATTCAACTTGCAATCCGACACGGAGTCACTTCGAATGCCCGTGACTCCGTGTTGGACTGCACGTTGAAACCGTGACGAACCCCACAAGCACTTCTGCTCGTGCTTTATTCTCTCCTGAATAGAGACTTCATTTTAGCGTGGACCCTTGAGGGTATTTAATGTCTCCTTTACACCACCGCCGGCATGCTACCACAGAGCACCTCTGTTGCTGACGACCCTCAACGGTGGTTCAAAAGAAGCTTGTGCAACGCATTTACATCATTTATGACTTCAACCGTGACGTGAGTATCCAGATATGTGATCATGCCTTGCTCTTGAGGACTGGTGGACCCGCCCAAAAGGCTCCACTGTTGCAGCGTCTTGACGAAACAAAGTTCGACAGAAGTTTTATGAGCGATGGACCTGTTAGCACGAATTCCAGCTGGAGAAACGTTTTATTTAATTCAATATTATTATCTGAATAGCAGTGGAAATGCGTATTTTGTTGGCTTGTGTGCAAGCCAGATTATAACCGCTAGGCTCTCTCCCGCTCGCAGGCACGAGCGTCAGCGGCAACAACCAGCGGAGGGCCTCAAACCGGTCTCCTCGCGCTTCGACGGTCAGTTGTTCCGCTAAAGTCACATCACGTTTGCTTTGGTTGATTTTTTTATCAACTCCTATCTTTCATTTGCATATCAAGTTCATTGAAAACGCCAGCGATCAACAGTTCGCAGAATGTTTCTACTGCGCAGGTGACCACAAGTGATTAGCCATCAAGAAACGAGCGTTACGTGCCTTCCTGCTCTAGCAAGACACCGCCTCGTTTTTCAGGGATTAGTTCCTCTTTATTACAATGGATTTTGTGGAGAAGAGGCTGCCGGCCTGGGAAGAAGGTTCCGACGATGTAATGAGCCCTCCAAGGCCCGTGAAGGTCAACCTTCCCAGTGGGCTAACGACAGGGATTCGGAGCTCCCAGCTGCCCTCGCACGTAGAACTCCACGCGCTTGTGCCTGCAGAAGTCCGCCTGGGCACCACACAACTCATGATGGCCTTCCTACAAGATGAAAAATATTCGTCTTGGAGACTGTTGTACAATCGTGCCTGTGAAATCATCGAGATCCGGAACAGAGAAATGTCTGTTTCTCTTGAAGCGTGCTGTTCTCCCCCACCGAATTCGAATAATTACGTTCCCCAATACTCCAAGGGCATGGTAGCGTGCTGCCTCGACCACCACGCACTTCATGGCAGCAGCTCCCTCGAACTGGCTCAAAACACGTGCGAGATCGAATTAGAGGCATCTCACGCTTTTCGTGAGTGGTTGGTGCAACAGGTGGGGACTTCTCTTGTCCAACCAGACTGCGTTGTGCGGGAAGCCAAGGTGGCGGACACGTACACTCTAATGATTAAAGAGAGGCTTCACAACGTAACAACGGCGCGTTCCGTGTACCTCGCAGCTCAAAAGGAAATTCCTAACCCACCATCTGAAGGCATCCAAGAGGAATGGATGACACATAGTGTTAGGGGAATGGATGACGCATAGTGTACGGAGAAGGCTGCAAGTTACCCGTGCCAGGGAGCTTATAACGGCTTTCTTAGTGGAAAGCAAAATGACTCCTGTGGAAGCAGTTGCGGAAGCACGAAGGCGAAGCCAGCCTTCGCGCAGTGATCGGGAATTAGAAAAGTTCCATCCCGAAAGAATTGAGATTTTGGATTTTGCTTTCGAGTCCTACAAGTACGGCACCGAATACCTGGCTCGCAAACTAGAGCAGGAATACACGATTACTCATCCGTGGCAGCAAGCTGACGAGGAAACCCACAGATCGGCAAGTCGTCGCCCGGAAGCGCAAAGTGAATGCCCAAAGTATGACAAGGATCTCCTTCTGAATTTATGCGGTTGCTTCTAGCCAAAGGTCCCAAGCACTACTGATGCAGAGTGCCAATGGAAGTATAGGCGGCCGTTGAGGCAAACTCCGATGGATATATGAAACCATTTTGTCGAGGGACAGTAAGAGAAGGCAACATCAAGGAGAACTCTGCGGGCGGACAGTAAAAGGGCTACGAATCCTCCTAAAGCGTTGTTTGACACTTGTAGGAGTGCATCGGGAGGTCCACCTAACACTTTAAGTGGATCCCTAGCAGCCTAGTAGAAAATCGTAAAGCTCCAGCCACATGCATTGGCATTTTGGCACTGAGGTTCACTCGGAGGCCGAACGAATCCATACGAGTGCCTTGTCAGCCGTTTTTACATGCCTCTAAACTTTTACACGCACACCGAATGCAACTTCGAAATCTTGGACAGAAATGCCGGGACGGTTCGATTGAAGACAGTAGTTCAACAAGTGTGCATTCATTCGTGTGTGTTGCCGGTCCTTCGATGCTCTGTCCTAGAAATGTGTAAAATCTATCGCGTGCAAGTAGGCTGTTACCGCAGCAAACTGTCGGCAGTGCATGACGGTCTGGTATACTATTATAATCAGCGCGTCAGAGCCGGTGACGGTGGCGCCTTCTTGAAGAGAGGAAAACTCAGAGTTCAAAGGACGAAAACCTTCCCATGAAGGAAACGCAGTTTTCTCTGGGTATTCAAACCTAACTACAAGAGGGCAACGTTGTCGACAAGTTGATATATGGCTAGTGTACAGTATAAATTGTAGGGAGGGGGCTTTCACGGAAGATACGTGCCGGTAGGATTTTAGCCCGCTCACGCCTTTCCATAAAGACCGGGCCCATATATACCCATACACTGCTATTCCGTCACAAGTGCACACCTCCCTTCATCCGACTTTCGCGGCTTCTGTGCAAATGTGCTCTGGGACTGCATCAGGCGGTGCTTGCATGACTTCAATCTGCAGCAGGGACAAATACCCGATAGCGCGCAGTAGACACTTAAGTGGCGTGGTTACTGTTCACTCTAGAGTACACAAGAGCCATCCAGCTCCCTTCACTGCTGGTAGACCTCCTGCCCTTGCCTGTTTAGAGCATGCAAATCTCATAAAACGTAAACATATACCATCCAGTAGCTCCTCACCTTGTAGCGGACACGCCGAGAGGATATTAGTCCCCAAGAGTTGTCAAAGGAGAGAATCAAAGTGCCTTCACGTTCCGCACTAACAACGCCGCTCACTCGCCTGAAACACAGCTTCAAAATCTGAAAAGCACGATTGGAGAGTCTGCAAATGCTTGTATTGGGAGCGCCGAGTAAACTGCGTCTGCTGTTGACTAACACAATTTGACACCTGTTGAAAGGATGTCATGATGCCAAGGAAGAGTATAGTGACGCTCACTTGCGGGGAGGGTACTTGCGGTGCTCCTCAAGAATGCTCTCATCTCCGGACTGCAGTTGCACGAACGCCCAAAATGTGACAAAATTTTAAACCGTGCATTCAGTGGCCACAACCTGTCCTCCCCCTCTAGTGTGCATTGGTAGCCTAGCGACCAACTTACGTGTGACCTCCAAATAGCGCTGAATCCCACATCAAAGTCTTCCGCGACCCAAGCCCACTGCACAACAGACCTCTGCGGGATCTGCGTATGTTAACACAGGCAGATACAGGGTAACCATGGACCACACACGCTAGCACTGCACTGTTGTTGGCGCCAAAAGAATGTGGACGGTTGCAGTTGCTTCGTCACATGAGTTGTTCCTGCGGCACCCAAGGGCTGTATATATCATTGTCATTCTAAAGGTCCAACTTACCAACTCCACCGCTTGGTTGCAACGCCTAGCCCCCACATTAAGAATCATACTTCCTGGGCCTAAGTCCGTCTCTCTGCATGGGCAACAAATACCACACCTAAAATTGGGGTTTCATTAGCAATGGCCTTCTAACCGATGCACGTCGTGGAATAGAACCGCGCGCTTGAGCGCAATACCAAGCACTTTCTCCGAAGAAACAGAAGTTAGTAGTTCCAAACAAAGTCGACACAGAAATGTTCATCCCCTTGCACTACGAGAGTAGTCTGCACTGCCTTACAGCGGAGGGAAGTCTGCCAATGGAGAAGTGCAAATGCCACCCAGAGAAGGAGGAAGAGCGTAACCCCCAATATTCCTGACTAAAACACTCTCCGCGTCGCTGCCTGCAGGCAATCGACAAAAACTGAGGATCCACTCTGGCGGCTGCAGCTCCAGACGTTACGTTACTTCATTACTACTACAGTTAAATCCTCCACAGTGTGCAGAACAGCTTTTGTACGATATCCAACTTACTCAAGAGCTTGATCTTGTCGATGGTCCTCTCTCTCAGCCAACCGCGGATGGCAGACCAAAGAGTCGAGAACGTGCGGGGAGTGTTGATGAAATACATCGTTCCAATAGATTCCGGATAGTTTTCACTTGCTGAGCTTATTGTCCTTCGCAGCAAGCTGAACAATTTGGAAAGAAAAGGTGACAGGCCCAGTAACACAGAGTTGTGAGCAGCACACAAGTACACATATTGGTGATTAACATGAATATACTGTTTTGTATGCAAACCGCACAAACATCGCCATATTTGCTGTCAGACTTCTTTTCCCCACTTGAGCGCTCGCCGGTTCAAAATCCTCGTGGACAGGCCCTGCAAGTCGATAACTGCGGTTACGCGAACCATTCTGTTGAACTTACGAGACAACCTGCGGCCACAAAACATGCGTAGAACCGCACAGCACACAGCCCTATCCCTACAAGCGATGCAAGATGCCTCTAACGAGAACCCCTATGCATGCCCAATCTTCCGAGATCATCCAAACTCACACATCCAGGAGCATGCTTCGAAACTCCAAAATGTCCGAATGCCACTCCAAGAACTCTTCTTCTGAAACCGCCGAAAACAAGCCGTTTACATCGAGCATTCCTGCACACACGCAATTTGTGAATAGCAGCGACAATTTCTCACTCACGAGATCCTCGCCCAATATATAGGCCACGACTTGTACACGCAAATGTGCTTCAGGAGTAACTTCCAAGACCACAATAACTAAGAGATAACGGCTACCTGGACCCCAATAGAACGCCCCGTCTATCCCTACCCCGTGCGCCCCTGTCCCCATCACATATCGGAATCGCGGACGGAAAACAATTGCGGGTTCCCCAAATGTAACTATTCCTGCTGCAAATACGATGGGTAGACAAGCTAACCTGGCCGTTCTATGGAAATGATGTTTCCCTGTTTATCTAAGATCACGGCATCTAGAGCCTTATCGCTAAGCGCCTGCAATAAACTGTTCCCGCCTCCCGGCGCACTGGCTGCAGCAGCAGCTGCAGCACAAACATCTACGCTTAGACCTTCTCCCGCATCACGGCGGAGAACAGGATTTGTGGAGAAAAAACGTGTGACATCAGTGTGCTTCGGGGAAGCCTCAGGCCTCATTGGCAACAACATTGATTCCTGCAGGCAAAACCATTAAGCCGCAGGCGGAAAGGCAGGCTGAAACAGTGGTCATACGCATAACAACAAAACCAGGTTGAACACTAGCGATCTCGTAGGACATCACTTTCTCCAGGTTCTTAGCAGGGACGTGAAGGATGAGGCTTTTCGAGGTGCGCGCACCACAACTATTCTCCTCTTATTCGAATTAAGGCTCATTTCTTCTCTCCATTTCATATGGCGTCTATAGGCGTTTTTGGCGGCTGTCGCATCGTAGTCAAAACCTTGAAGGTAGCGCAACAGGCGAGTGCTGCCGGCTAACTCGGGCACCTCCGGGTAAGCATCATCTGGTGCTGGAACTGCAGCTTCGGCATCGGATGTTGCGGATGCATCTTCTGGATACTTAAGCGGCGGAACTTCTTGCGACTTAGCTGCGTAATGTGACTCGGTGCCTCTGGTGGGTCGGCTGAGAGTGCGGCTCAGGAAAGCGGACTTGCTGCGAATGCATGCTGAAGACCCCGCTGCGGCTTCTACACCGCTGTCAGAGGCCTTCATGCCCCTTAAGAACTCATTTCTGGCCGCCCTTGCACTTTCCGTGAAGTCTCTAAAGGCCTCCAATTGCTTGGTCGAGGGATTTGCAGCCAGGAAAAACTCAGGGGGTTCCTCAACCAGCCGGAAATCACCTGCGTAGGGCGCCCTGCAGACGCGGTCTGCCGGGGCATTTGGTTCTTCACCTGGCTGTCTATTGTTGAACTGTCCATTTGGAGAATCGAACACCTGACGCGCTGGAGAGCCAGCCGCAGCCGCCATGCGTTTCTCGCTCTCCTGCAGCATCTCCACAACGCGTAGTCCGCACGGCGCGGCTAATTCCAAGAAATATATATCAGCGTTACGCCCGCAACTTTGTCAACAAAATGCACTCCAAGGAAAGTCGTTGTATGCGTTAAACTCTAAAACCGGCGAAGCTGCTGTAGCACACAAAGTAGCTCATAACGGAGCCTACGGCAGCCAGTTTTAGAGTCAACTGCGGCAACCAAGATACATGGAGTCGAAGTATATGTTCAGGACTCATGGTTTGTCTGTACACTGCCAAAAGAACATCGTATCTGGGTCGTGGGCGGATGGTTGGTGAGGAGTCGTGTTCAGGCGCAACTAAAGCCTGAACCCGGCCGTCAAAATAAATATTTTTATTTGAACAAATGGTGTGGATGGAGCATTTTCCCCCTACACTCCTCTATGTGTCCAGACACGCAACACGTTACATTCGACAGGGGCCCAGTGACCTCGCAACGGCCGCTCCTGTGTCCACAAGGGAAACTAGCTTTAACAATATGATTTCATTTTCAAAGCCATTAAAAAAGAATATACAAAAGAGGGATAAAGGTAAGCTTTCAGGAGGTTTGAGACTCCCAACTGCTACGCTGCTTGGGCCGCAGCCCTACACCACTCGTGGGGAAAATCATTCCTCGGGGCTTTTTCAAGCCAAATCTGTCGTACTTCTTGGCATCTGCACGTTCTGCCCTATTTGTATAATTAAGATTCATTTATCTGCCCATCTGGCTGCTTAGTTTTACCTTCTGTACGCGGGTCATGAGCGCCAGACAACGTGCATTGCTATTCCTCGTCGGATCATTGGATGTTCTTTCGGCAGCAGCGAATAAGCAAGGCACATGTTCCAGGTTGCAATTTCGCAATAATCCAAAAGTGTTTTTGCCGGAGATGGCGAATTCTTTTCTCAACCAAAGTGGCAAAAAGCCGCAGCACTCTTCAGTGCCAAGTAGGCGAAATCAAGAGCCCACCAAGTGGACACACCAGCTGCAGCGGTAACACCCCTTTGCAGGTAGCATGAGTAGCAGCAAATCAGCACGTTGAAATTTAGATTAGCTGTTAATATGTGGATGCACCTTCATCTGTGAGTGCACATGAGTACGCTAAACGCCGTATTTCTTTGGCTTGCTAGCCAATTGCATGCCTTTATTAATTATTCACCCGCACCAGACTATGCAAAAAAGAAATCCTTGCACTTTTTCGCTAGAAAACATGGGCCACGTTCTCCTTGGGGAGATACTTACTGGACACAGTCAACTGCCGAATCGAGAAATTGACGCAGAGTGTCATCTGGTAACCGTGTCTTGGCCTCATGATGCCTACCACCGGTTACTTGTCGGTCTCAGACTTCGCCATTGGCGTGCCCTACTAGTTGGCATGCTGCATCTTTTGCAAGTGACGCCCTTATCCTTCGCGTCTGCTGCTTACGTTTGCAGGCAGTCTCCATTCGCAATTTACTAATTTCCCTAGTTCTTCAAAACCTAATTCGAAGTCCCGTTTTAGCCTAAATGAGGTGTAGAATAGGGGTACCTAATGAGTGTTGGAATGTAACCGGCTCTGGCAAATGCTGCTGCTTTGGTAATTATATCTTTCAGGTGCCTAAACAGTCAACCAACCGTACAGTGAGTTTGCTCAGAATTATCTGAATAAATACCAATGCTCGCAAGCACACGCTCGAATAACGTTGAAATCCAAGTTGTTCTTATGGTTGTCAAACGCATGCATACTACGACTAGTAAAGTCTCACAAACGCGTGGCATTTATCGGTTGCACGCAAAATTATGATCAGTTCTGATGGCGCTTGGCATCTTCTTTCAAGCGGTTGGCTCTAAATTTCTCAATAGGGCCGATACTATATAAGAACTCATCTGCTTCTTTCTTGCTGCGCACTTCAACGAAAGTATCCGGAGTAGAGGGCACAAGATTATTTCCCAGGCTTGACGAGAAATTCCCCATGTTGTTCATTTCTTCTATAACAAAGTCCTGCTCTTCACTCTTCTTTCGAATGACAACTCGGATCTCGTTAAGACGACAATCCATCCGCGCTGCTCCCCTTTCGTCTAAAGGGCGCGTATGAGTTCCGGCAATGCTCAGTTCTACGGCCAAAGCGTGGTACTGCTCATCCACTTTTTGACATTGGGTGTCCATCTCCACCAGCAGCTCTCTGAGATAGTCTATCTTGCGTTGGATTTCTCGTTGCGTTTCAGCGACGTTTAGAGGTTGTGCTCTAGCACTGAATGAGAAGGGCTGAATTGACCTCATGTCGTCTCGAACAAGTGCCTTAGACCGCGTACCGTTGCGCCTTTTCTGTTGCCTGTGGCACTTCCTCAGGGCAATCATCTGCGCCTCTAAATGCGATAATTCCAAGTGTACTGTGTGGTTCAATAGCGAAAAGCGATATTGATCCAGAGCGTGCGCAGATTCAAGGCGTTCCGCGATGCTTCGAGATATCAACACCTGGTGAGGCGGAGGCCCAACCCAATAAATTGACTTGTTTACCCACATGGACGCACGATTATCCTGCATCATCTTGCCAGGAAACGATGCAATTCAACGATGCGACTTGTACCTGAGTAAAAAAGTCCAAAACACACGGGCTACAATTGCACAACAGCCACTCAGAAATGCTAAGCCATCGGGAAGGTGCCAAATATTCCACCATTCAATAGGTATACTCGTACCGAGAATGCCAACGAGATACGCATGCGGGTCTGTCGAGCCGACGATTCAGATATTATGGAATGACTGCCTACAAGACAGAAAAACGTACAAAGGGCAGAGCTTTTGGCGGAACCATACTTCAACAGCTACCACTAATGAACTTGCAGACGTGCTCAAGGGAACAAATAAGGCCTCTATGCAAAAACAGGAAAACTCCAGGGAGGAACGTAGGCCTGGTGTATTCATTCAAATAAGGGATATGCATGGAGGCAACAAGGCAACAACGCAGCTTCAGGGACCAAGGAATGCGCGATACGCTGGAATACGAACGTGCTTCCCTGCTGTGCTTTCACCAACTTTCAGTGCCTGTATTTAAACCCTTACCTGTATGTGGGTTTCCATGAAATTCCCACCTTTGGGCCCAACTGAACGGAGAGATTCGATGTAGCGCCCCTCTAACTTGTTCGGCGGTGGGTTCGTCTATGCGAAGACGCCAGTAATGATGACAAGGATGCCAGATTCCGAAGGTCAGATCACAATGCCTGTTGGTCACCTCTAGACGTTCAAGATGAGTAGTATTTAACCAGATTGAAGCGGCCTTCGCGCGACGGACAATCCCAGCAATGCAAAGTGACCTCAGAGCGTTGTTGGCTTTCCCGCAAACAGAAATTATTCAGACGGAGACTATTCTTGCAGAAAAGATCTAGTGAAAACAATTTTCAAAAAGTATTTTTTGAAAGCTTTTAACAAATGTATTGTCGTTAGGTTGTGCTCAATCCGCAACAGATCTGCTGAAGCGCACTGTCTCGGACCTGTCTGGCGGGCTCGAGCGCCGATGATTCGCCAGCTCTGGCTAGCTACGTCTTTCAGTCTCTTGCGCTATAAAATTCTGAGGTGTTTTGAAATATGAAGCGCACAGTGGAGTGAAAACTCAAAAGATTGCATTTTGTCCCACATATGCTGCTGCCACGCATGAACACCACATAGCAGGCGCTGGCCACAACATGGAAAAAGCCGGAAAATAACCCAAAAAATATAACGACCAGGGGAAGGTAACTTCTCGGACAAGTCATCGCGTTTCACCTTGCATGGAGGACCGCACATTATCCAAGAAAACCAAAGTGTGTTTTTGTCATCGTTCTTGCATTGGCTGCCCATAATCCAGCAGTTGTACTTTGGGCCATTAAACGGTGGCATATCCCAGAGGTGCTACATACGAGATGGAAACTGGCCTCCGTTCTGCATTTTCCTGATTACCTCTGGTGTGTATAAAGCCTAAAAAGCCCTGACGTATGCCACGGGAAGCACGTAAAAAGATTAAGTGATTGCTGCTTGCTAGCAACAGACTCTCAGCTCATGGGAGATAGCTACTTTGACGCCTCGACTATTCACCGGCATAGCCTCTGTGGACATTTCGCGGGCATGGTCTAGTGGCTATGACGTCTGCCTAACACGCAGAAGATCCCGGGTTCGATCCCCGGTGCCCGTATTGCTAGTCGATTGCTCCTATATGTGATAATTCCCTTTACATGTATGGCCTTTACATATGAAACAGACGTGTGAAGCGCATCAAGGGTCAGAGTTACTGTGGCAAGGCTCATTGCTGTGTAAGCGTCACGTATTACGCCAATGGGAAAGTTGGGCGGCAGCAGCCGTACTTCACGGTGTGTTGCTGTCCTTGTTGCAGAATGGATCCTCGAATCAGCGATTTTATATTATGTTGATGATGACGGGCCTAAGAGCTGCATAATGTCTATACTCCGGTACCCTTACTTTGAAACCACGCTGGTTAGTGTGCATAAAACAATAGAAAAATCCATGTCTACGCGTCAATAAGAGCACCTTACGTGAAGGCATTTTCCAGTTTTCCTAGGTCAGCCAAACACGCTGGCATTGGACGATAAGTCTCCATGGTTGCAGGGCCTCTTGCAAAGTCATATCATTCCTGCGAAGCAGGCAACTATGCATGCAACAGATGCACACACCAACAGTGACGAAACAAAACACTGCTGAATGTTTGTTCTAGTGAGCGGGCCCCACGAGAGCCAACACCAAGCTTAAAGGGCAAATATCTACGGTACTGCAGCACAGAGAATCTGATATGAAACACTCAGTCACACCCCACTTAAGCATGCGCCAATCTTGGAGGCAAATACCTAGTGGCGCGCAGGTGAGTTCCGCGGCTTCATAGACAAGCTATCCTACAGAGAAAACGCATGTATCACCCTGCATTGGAATGCAGATTCGTCTCGTGTCTAGATGCCCCTGAACCATCGAGATGTTCGGCAGCTTCTATAGGGACCCCTGCAATAACTTCTTCAGTATTAGCTTCCCCGTAAGGTGCAAGAAAGAAGCGCGCAAGTGGGTGCCTTACTGCAGACAGTGTTAGCTTCCCTGTAAGGTGCAAAACACACGGCTACAGCCATTCTGTAGCCCACGCTTGTAGCCTGCACGCTGTCTGCACCCTCCTTCCTATATACATGTCCTGTATACGACTGTACGCTAAGAGGAAAGACGGTGCAGACAGCGTACAGGCTACAAGCGTGGGCTACAGAATGGCTGAATATCAAGCTTCCTTGCTAGCATGAAGAAGATAGAAGCTTTCTATTTGTACACAGCTCATTGAACAGCAGCTCTGCCAAAAGGCATTCCAAGGACAACTGACAGTTTGGCAAGATAAACGCGTGTCGGCACTGTTCAGTGGTATATGGCTTTCAGCTTGCTAAAGCTTCACCCCTTACTTAAAAAAACGGTGCTTGAAACACACTTGGCCTCGGACCCTGCGCATACCGTCCTTACCGGCAACTCCCATTCCCTCTGGCCTTGAGGCCTACGACTCCCTCAGTGAATGTACGACTTTGGCAGCTATACCATCAACCTGCCATGCATCTTTCTTCACTGCCTAATGAAATGATATTGTTTCTGCTTCGAGTGCATAGGAAACAGCGTCTCCGAAACATTCCTTGCCGGAATGGGCCTCTACGGTGCTAGTTACACCTGTCGCAGATCGTCTGCCCCCCGGTGCCGGCTGCGGGGGGACAGCCCGTTCGTCTTCAACGAGTTCCCAGTCTTCAAACGGAGGAGGCAGAACGCGATGAGATGCATCTCCATCCTTAATGGGCCTGTCGGAGGTGTTTGCTTGATGCGGCTGCTGCACGCTGCATTCATCAGCTCCATGAGATCCTGGAGAGCCCCTCAAGAAGGAGCCCAGTCCAAATGCCATGCGGGACAACACGCCAGTGCTCGCTTGAGACCCTCTCTCGAACTCTTCAGGCGTCCAACCCAGACGGGCAAGGGCCTGTTCATGCTGCGCTTGACTGATGGCACGTTTCCTGCGAAACTCCTCCAGCATTTTCCGTTCGCCGGTCTGCACGACCCCGTCAGCGAATACCCCGGCTAAGAATGCGTCATAGCTAAGAATGGCAAGTCGTGCTGCTTGGGCCCGTGAGCGGTCAACCAACAAGGACGTCAGCCCTTGAACGACAGGGAACCCCAGATTTCCGGGTTCCCGTAGCACGAAGGCGGCCAACTCTTTCAAATCCAGGCAAAAGACGGTGGTTTCTGTCATGCACGTAGCCGTGGCAGGCGCCTTCAGAGCTCCCTCCCCTCTGTGGCCATCCGCGTCGTCTGATTCTCCTTTTGAAGACGGGCTGCGCTCGCGTGCCGGCTGTTGCCGTTGAAGCCCTCTTTCTGTGCTTCCTCTCCTGTTTTGTGACGTTTCAGTCAAGCTAGCTGCATCGGCTGCTGCTGCCACTGCGGCTGCAGCAGCTGCTGCTGCTGCCTCGGCGACGTGCCGTGCGCCTTCTGCAGCTGAGGAAACCCCACCATGAACAAGAGAGGTGGCTGTGGACGCCTTTGAGGGAGCCCGCGCTGGCAGCTGCGTGTCAGGTGTGTGCGTTGGTTCTGTCAAAAGAGCCGTCGCTGCAGCTGTGCGCACCGCTGCAGCCGCGGTTGCTGCCGCCTCTGCAGCTGCAGCAACGATGCTGCTGCCCGCTTGGGTTTCTCCTCCTGCATCCGGAGTTGCCTTAGACCCAGCAGTAGCAACTGAAGGCGCCTTTGTAGCTCTTCCTGGTTGTGGAAAGTCCAAAGGTGACTGTGAATTTTGTGAAAGACTCTGTCGGGGTAGCTGCTTTTGTTGGCGACTGGTATCGGCATCATGACCTGCTACCGTCACTGCTGCTGCTCTTGATGCTGTTCCCCCATCAGTATTCTCCATCATCTGAGGGTTATTAGTTCTTTCTGCGCCTTTATTTGTGCCGCTCTGCGGTTCCTTGTGGTTTGGACAGGCTGCTTGTTCAAATTTGTTCCTAGCCGTGAAGGCCGGCTCTGTCTGCTGATGGCGCTGAAGACCTTCCGGGGGTTCGTCCGCATGGCTAGCCAGTGTCTCAGGAGAACCTGCTGCTGTGTGCTTGACACGCTTCGCCGACATTCTCCTCAAGTCAGCAACATATGAAAGAAATGGTTCTACACCCAGGACTGCTCCTGTCTCGCCTCCTCTGTATGTGTCCACTATTTCTCCACCTTGAGATATCTCGACAGCTCCTCGCGCCACAAAGCACAACGTTTCGCAGTTGCTGTCTTCCTGCTGCAGAACATAACCTTGAGGAAAGGTCCTCCAACTGCCTTGCCGCAGCAAACGACGGAACTGCCTCGGGCTCATCCCCGCAGGCAGGAAGTATCTCTGAAATATGTCTAGTTCATCTGAGCTAAAAGAAACCTCCCGGTGCTCCGTATGGACACGCCACAGCATCACCGTGTTCAGCACCAAAAACACCACATTCCACAAAGCTGCATCTGTGAGGCGGGGTCGTCGAGACCAATTATACGAAAAGTAGCAAAATCCTGCGAGCAGATTAAACACCCGAAGAAGCCGCATGTCTGCCATCAGGGTAGCCGTGAGAGAAAGCAAGGACCCAACTGTCACCACCACGTTCCCATTGCTATACGTCCATTCGGAGACGGTGGAGCAATACGGAGCAAGGAGAGAACGCAACTGTCCGTAAAGTGCACCAACCCGCTGCTGCACGAAGCAGACTGGACGGGGTCGGCGCATAGAACCTGCGCGTGAGGCCCCCCTCCCCACCGACTTCTTTAAGGGCGCTTGCGTCTCCGCAGCAGGAGGCCTGGCCATAGTCTCTCCATGGAACTGCTCTTCTTTCGGGTGCTTCAGCAGCTGCTTTTCCTCATCCTTGTGCTCCTGTGAGACGGCCGACGCAAATGCATCCGCGCTATTGGGCAAAGCGTCCCTTGGCCCATCCCAGTCTTGCCTCCCATCACTGCCCTCGAGTCCCTCTCGGGTGCTTGAACCGGCTCTAGCAGCAGTCTCGTTCGCAGCAAAATCTACTGGTACTGCCCCTTCATACGTGGCCCTGCTCACCAACACATTTCCCCGCCCCTGTGTTGCTGTTAACTGTGCTACTGGAGAGGCGCCGTGCTTGTCCTCTTTCTGCTGTTGTTGTTGTTGTTGTTGTTGCTCATTCTGCTGCTTGAGCTGTTGCGTGGCTACGGCCACTCGCTTCTGTTCTCCAACGATTGAGCTTTCTTGGAGCAAATGCCGCTGCAGGGTTTGTGGTTGTTGTTGCCGGCCATGCATGACTTGCCGCTGCCCCCCTACCGACTGTGCCTTGCTGAGAGGCCTCCAGGACCGGAGCAAAACACGAGGGGGAAGCCGGAGCCTCTGAATGTTGCGCGCGCCCCCCGCTGCAGCAACAGCTGCCGGTGATGGTGTAGAAGTGGAAGTTGTGCGGCCACAAGTCTGGCGCCGAGGCTGCCAGGTTCGGCGGAACAGGGGCTTCAACAGCCGCTTAATAGCCTTGTTGAAGAGGATGGGGAACTGGAAATCCATTGCACCTCCCGATGTAACATCCGGCGCCCCGGGATGTCCCAAGGGACCGAGAGAGCTCCTTTGCCGTTTACGTCGACCAATAAGGGGATTATCTACTGCACACTGACGTGTGTTCACTGCCTCTATATCTGGAACTGCTGCTGGTTGTGTCGCTGATACTTTATCTCCGGGTGCTACCCCATCTGCGGCTTCCGCCCCAACTGGCTGGGAGGGCTCAGGCTTTTCCGTTTGAGAAGAGGTGTATGACCCATGCCATGATCCTGATCCTTGCTGCGCTGCACCAGAAGCGGATGCCGCACCGTAGGGGAGGGCAGAACGGCCCATTCGTCCCCCGCGTGCCAGCATAGCAGCAGCAGCAACAGTGGAATTCCTGGATGCATCTGCCGAGGATACTTGCGGCAGAACAGCCCCAAGCCATGCTGCAGCAGCCTTTAAACAGATGCGTACAGCTCGGCCGCGACGGCGGCCCACAATTGTATTGCCCGCTCGCACCTGTCCTACTCCCCTTTCCCCTCCCTGTCCTACACCCCCTGTCCTTACATCGGCAAGCGGGTCGCTGCTGCTGCTAGCTTCTCCTGCATTACAAGCTACCCTAATGCATCGTCTGCGCCTTCCAACCGTCTGAGGCGTCTCCCTCATGGCCTCCACAGGTGAGGTTTTCAATGAACCTGCAGGACTGGGGTTACTTGCATGTGCAGTGCTGCCTGTGTCGCTGCTGGCACGTTCCGCGTACACAGGCTTGTCAACATTATATTCGCTGCGGCGAACGGGACTTTGGCATGGCGAAGGGAGAGCCCCTGAGTTCACAAGATCTTTTGGGTTCCTTGCTGGTTCGGCTGAGACCTCTACACAACTGTCGTCCGCGCTTCTGTGAAAGCACTTGATATGAACCAATACGTGGGGCGGTCGCTGCTGAAAGCACTGCCTCTGATGTCTATGCAGATGCTGGCGCTGCAACGTTTGTGCGGACAATTGGTCCAGGTTGGCGGCCCACCGCCTAACTCCAAGCGGGCCGCTCTTCCCAGAGTTAGCACCCAAAATATAAACTGGATACGCCCTTTGGACAATCGGCAGCGTAGTTACTGCTGTTTTTGGAGCGCCTTCTTGAACAAGCCGGAAAGCATGCATCTCTCTGCCTCACATTTCTGATAGCTCCGGATTTATGATGACAACGACGCCCGTTTTCTATCGGCGGCGCACGAACTAACCGTTAAGCACAGAGCGCTGTACACAACGGAACAGCGATATAAAGCTGCTATGAACTGCTTTACGATATTATGTGGTCCTTCGCAGACATGCTAAGAAGAGCCTGGAAGGCATGCCCGCCAACAGTGTGACTCCAGTGAAGTCTTTTGGTCGCACGTTACTTCATTTGGACAGGAGTCCGCGAATGGGACGTGTTTGATGTTCAGTTCAGCCAGTAATAATAAAAAGACAAATAAAGGAGGTATAGTGTCGCGAATGCGTAAGTCCCGCAGCAACTTCGGCTGCCGACTACTGCCTGCGGCCCTGCAACACGTACGCCACCTGAACTAGATTATTTCCGCTACGGAATGGAATCTGGAGGAATAGCAGCCAAACACAAACTTCTAAAACGATGGTTATTACCTATAAATGTCTAATGGTTGAATGTTGGGGCGACCCCCGGGTTCGCTCAGAACAGCCCTGTAAAACGGCCTTCCCGAAGGCAGTGCGTAACGTTGTGCGCTTGCGACATACAAACCCTCTTTGGGAACATCCAAAACCTTGGGTGTGCCACTGATGAGCAATTGCAATGCCGATATTGACGTGAAATATGTGTGCTGTGGCTGGTCAAACATCTACTACCCCCTGTCGTCGGAGGTTCCTTGATATGGTCAACCTGAACGTGTTACATATATTTATACTTGCCTCTAGGCTGACTACGGAGGACCAACTAAGTGTCAAACAGTTGCCTGCAGTGTTAGTGCATCCATCGAGGGGGATCTTGATTGCGTTTGCCTGTGAGGTTGCTGGGTAGCAGGAGTTGCAACAATTGCTAGGCAAGTCGGCTGGGCTCCTCCTCTGCAAACAAGCCTAGGCCTTAGTGATAGCATGCCCAGGATGTAAGAAGATTGTAGGACTGCCAGTTGCGTTCTGTAACCCTTATGAAATGTATCTCCGCGACTGTCTTGGGTCGATGACTCTTTTTGCAGTGGGTAGGGCCAGGAGGTTGATAGCGTCAGGCGCGAGCAGCGACATGCATTCCTCCAATGCGTGTTGTTTGTGTAGAGCACAGATTATCGGTGAAAGCGCTTTGCAGAAAGTGAAGGTAAAATCGGTGTATTCTGTCCGAAGTATTTGTCAAGGATTTCCACTGGGGATGCAGCTAAAGTCTTGTCAACTTGCCAGAAGCGCTACAGTTGATATTGGCATCCCGCCTATCGAAGGGAAAGGCACCATGGTTGAGGCTATTCCGAAGCAACGGTATCACGATTCCGGAGCACTACAGAAGAGTGAAGGCTCCCTGACATTCTTTGCGTAGTAGGAATTAACTGGAGGCTGGCGGGAGAATAGGCTATAGCAGGAGTCAGAAAAGTCAGTCTGTCGAACGTATTTATAGATGGGTATATCAAGAAGTAAAACTTATTGGTTATCAGTAGTACGACAACCGGTTAGGGGCTTCTTCAGTGACTGATTGCATGTTCGGAGGAGCAGTTCGTAACCACCTAAGCTGCAGCTATATACACCGCCGATGAGGAGTCACTGGATAACTCGGTACAGTAGCCAGCAGCTTGTTACTGTATTTGGATTCCAAATTGAGATACGACCAGCAAGTCGGAAGGGTAGCTTCAACGGGAAACGGGTGACAGAGAAGTAAACGACGTTGCCTGATGTTATCAGCCGATGCAACCCCGTTTCCACCGATCTACATAACAACCCTGCAACTGCGTACATATGGATGAGGGGAGCCAAAAGAACGGAAATGACGACACAGAACGAACAAGTTCGGTCTCGATTGGAACCCACAAAAGGACGGAAAACTAACAAGCACACTAACAGAGATGAGTGCCAGAACAAATTTGGTTGAACCCAACTTGACTGTCAAGCGGTGATACAATTTTCATTTAATACGCCAGCTAGCCCCTCATGCCTTGTGATTTCCGTTGCGTGTGTATGATACCCTAACCCAACTTTGTCAACAGCCTGGAACTGGTAACCCGTTGATTCCCGATCCTAGAGAGGGCAAAAAGTAAAGTAAAATACAGGCATATCCGAAAGGAAAACATAGCCTAGGATGCAGCAGGTCGGTTGTCTAGGCTAAAACACACGACCCATCCATCCTGCCCGGTATCTGAATGAGCTACACACCACGGAACACAACCATTCTCTCCTGAACAAAGAGTGCTCCTAATTGTGTAAGTTCTCCAACAAGACTCACCAACTACTTATGGGGTGGAAGTTGAGATAATTCCCATCCAAGACAATAAGAGGGCTCACCGACAAGCCACGGTGAGAATTCAATATGGAAGACAGAACGCAAAATGCATTCAAGGATCTCCACACGCCATTCTACCCAATGCGCCGCTGCAAACACTTCCATTTAACATGTAGAGTAATTGGCTAATTCGATGCACTGAATTACACAGGGCAACAAACTCGAAACCCTGCCACCGCAACTGCCCGCCTTGGAAGTGGTCTGCGGAGGAGAGACGCGTCCAGCAAAAAAACGACAAAGTTTTGGCACTCCAAAGCTTTGAGCATGCGAAGATTGGAGGAGCCAATCCCGTACTAAGCCTTTAGGAGCATATGTGTAATTTTGCCTTGGCACTGATATTGGTCAAAGCATGCGCAATTACAACACCGTGCACTGCAACAACATGCCTGGAGGAAAGAAAGCCAGCACTTACAACACAAAAATGAGCTCAAGATAAGGTGTGGTTAAATGCTATATACGCTGTGCTGTTTTATGTTCGATATTAAGATAGCCTTGGTGGCGATGTCTGGGGCTAGATCAGCCAGCGTGCGCAACGGCGCAACATGCCCAGGGGAGTAGTAGTTCAGTTCTGCTTATCCTTAGAGCATCCGACACTAGTGAATAGTCTATTTCAGAATTTTGTTTTTTGTGGCATTTGGAGTTAGTTGTAGCTGGCATCAACTTCAGCGTCACCACCGAGGTGAAGGAGCACCTGACTCGGCACTCTTCGGCGGAGCAAGCCTCGTGGTGTATGATTCCTGTCCCGCTCACACAGCACCATCCGCTTGTTTTGACAACTTTGTACTGGACTTCTAATTAGGAAGGTGTAGGCTAGCGCTTCTTGCTCATATGCAGAAGCATCTGGGTGCGAATCGTCCAGGATGATCTTCGTACCGTCCTATTCGCGCCAATGGCTGGTCCGGACCCTAAACGCATGTACATTGCGATCAATTCGCAGAACCTCGACGCGCTTAAGCCAGAAAAACCGTATTGGAGCAAGCCATTCGTTTTTGTGAATCCCTCGTAGGTGGCCTATGCTCCTGCTTTGCCCTCACGCGTATTATCTCCGCTGCTTGGATTGGGAGCACTTTACCCAGATCGATAACACCTAGCCAAGTGCTAAACAGTGTTGCTTGTGCTATCTTTCAGATTTAGCTAAAGCTCAAGAGTGGCTTCGGTGTTTGTGGGATGCGACACGCTCAGCGGGACTGGCACAAAGTACACTTCCCTCCAGGCGGCGATGATACTCCAGAAGATGAAGGTCGTTGACTTCCTGTTAGACCAGCCTTCCGTCGATTTGACAGTGAAAAGCACAGATGGAAAAAACACTGTCACCGTTGCTGTCGAAGCAAAAGTACGTCGTGTAACCCTTTCTGCCACCCGTATGAGCGCTATTTTTGCGTTTGGGCAGCAACTGGCAGTGTTTCGTCGATAGCGACATACCTGATGTTCCAGTGTCATGCATGTGCATTTCTAATGTGTTCAATTTAGATGGGTGTCGGAACACTAGAAAAAATTCTTCGCAAACTCGACTTACGATGCCTTGGTGAAGTGGACTCTTCGGGAAAAGGACCAATAGACTACGCAGAACCTGGAACGGACGGTCCGTTTGATAGCCGCACCCTGTGAAGCGTGTTGGTGTGACTACCTCCCTCTCCGCATCTCTTGAAGCGAGGCACTTCCGACGGCACTAAGACCCCCATACCCACATTTAAGGCAGGCGCTGTGGCGTTCTGCACGCCCGATCCCTTTCGACTTATATATATATATATATATATA